ACACACAAACAGGCGCAGAGGACTCTAGACCAAAGGCTACCCCGCAGTCATGCTGCATTTACAGTTTTGTAACCTTTTAGCCACCAGCATACTGTAGCATAAATAGGCTAAATCCCTTGTAATCTGTTTGTGACAGGCATGAGGACCTTGTTGACTTACACCAAAGAGTGAAGCCTGACCCAAATATGGATGTGGGCATTAGCCAAGATTATGACCCATTACTAAGTATCACTATGTCATGCATGAGTGCAAGCAGACCAAAAAGTCTCTTTTAGAGGAATGGACATAGCATCATCAAGTGTTTGCAGTCAATGAATTTACCTCCCCTCTGTCAGAAATATAATATCAAAAATTGATCTAGAGTTACATCAGTAAAATGGAAACTAATCTCCACTTAATATGCTGTTTTCACTGGCATTATAAATTTTTTTTTACCACAACCACAAGCAGCTGTTGCAGAGCGCAACTTGCACAATAAAAAATTATATTGAATGGGTAACGAGTAGCTGAAATACGATCAGAAAGGCCTAAGTATGTTGGCGCTGGGATTGAAATGTGATGGTTTTCCCAGAAACAGTTATTATTATGTGCAGACATGTATTTGTGTAGACTTGAGATCAGAGTTGTTGGTTTTTAAGCCTGCACGATCATTAAACCCTGAAATTAGACAAGTTCAAACAAATAATTAAAAGGGCAAAATTGACATTCTTGACATTCATGCTTCTGACCACGATGCCACTGATATACACAACACCTGTTTAAAGAAAAAATGCTTGACGATCGATGCTACCTTTTCCTTAGAAAACCAATGCACGTCACTCCCATTTTGATTTTTGTTTTATTTGTGGTTACTATTTGGTTTTGTTTAGGTAACAAAATATTTTTAGGTGAAGAAAAAAGCACAAATTGAACAAAGCGGCCTCATCTCATTGTATTACCACCACCACATTTGGTGGTTGTTGATATGATCTTTTTATGAAATGCTGTCTTGGTTTTATGCCAGATGTAACAAGACACAAACCTTTCAAAAAGTACACTTTTTGTCTTGTCAGTCCACAGAGTATTTTCCCCCAAGTCCTGGGGATAATCAAGATGATTTCTGGCAAATGTGACATGAGGCTTTGTGTTCTTTTTGGTAATCATTGGGTTATGTCTTGAAATCTCCCATAGATGCAATTTTGCCTGTTCTTTTCTTATTGTTGAATCATGAACCCTAACCTTAACTGCAAGGCAAGTGAGGTCTGCAGTTCTTTAGATTTTTGTTGATGCACTCTTGGAGAAATTATGGGCCAGTCACACCTGGGGAGTTTCACCACTGTTCCAAGGTTTTTCCATTGGTAGATAATAGCTCTCAACGTGGAGTCGCTAAGCCAAAGAAATGACTTTGTAACTCTTTCTGGACTAAGAGATGTCAATGACTTTGTTTCTCATGTGTTTCTTTAAATCATGGCATCATGTGTTATATTATTAGTATTATTATTGGTGGTAGTGATTTTGGTACGATTGTTAATTTGATTACGGTTCAAGTATTAAAAATTTCAACTGATATTTTTTTGGACCGGTTCAGTTTACGTTAATGATCTTTTTATTAGAGGGCTCCTATTTACTTTCCAGTTTATAGGAGGATTATCACCATTTGTAGAGTGGTGATAATGAAAGAAACATTTGTTCTGTTTCGAAATTCTCATATTTCAAGGTTGTACAGTTTAACCTCATAGTTTAATATGGTATTATTAGGCTTGGACTCCCTCCTGAGTTAAGCTTAAATTATCTGGACTGCTTAAACATTTTTCCCCATAAGTTAAAAGAGCTCGAGTTTACAATATTCATGTCCATGTCTATTATTTATTCTGTCGCCGACTAAAATCCTTTAAAATAAAAAAAATTAAAAATTTTGAGGGACAAATTTTCTTTTATGGAGCACTGCCACACTGAGCACCACTGCTGATTTTGCACAGATTTCACCTCCTCTGCAGGATCTGCAAGACACAGCAGCCTAACAAACAGACAGATAGGAAGGTAAGGTGCAGAGGGTCGTCACAATCACCAAGTGCAAGAGTAAAGAACCTCAGCTCCACTTTGAATATTTCAGTACACATGTGGACACACATGCTTGCGCGCGCACACACACAGCTCAAATTCAAATAAAACAGAAACAGATACAGAGAGCATGGCATAAACTAATATCCTTCTCTATGACACTGTGATTGGATATTATTATTATATCTCTTTGCTCCAAGCTTTCACACAGAAATGAATTTAATAGGGTTTTTTCTGTTTCTTTTTAATTTTCATTTATTTATTTATTTAATTTTTTGCTGCTTATCCCTGGCTTCATAACAGAAGACTGACATTAAAGGGGCACGGCTGAAATTAACTTGTGTGTTTGAGGTTGGGTGGGGTTTCCATTTCAGTCTGCAGGCTTATTTTGATGATACTGGAATGAGAGAAAGAAAACATTTACTCAAAGGGTCCTATCAAATATCTTCCATTTCTTCCTTTACACACCTATGTCAAGGGGGCCCGGAGGCCAGTACGTGGGAGGGGACTCAAATGTGGAAACCTAATGGAACAGCGTTAAGATTTTAACAAGCTTCACTGTGAAAACAGAAACTGGAAATGACAACAAGAGGATACGCAGTGTTGAGTCTCTGACGTGGAGGCACTAGAACAGAGGGAGAGTTTGGTTAGGTTCTTAGAGTGAGGACTTAATGAGTGGAGGAGAGAGGAATACTGATTCTGTGGGCTTACTTGCAGGCAGAGGTTGTGAGGCTTTGGGGAGGGCAACCCAGTGAGCGTCCGAGAGGTGAGTGAGTGAATGCGGTTCCAACCAAGTGGGTTGCAGAAAGGTGCAGAGAATCTTGACAAGGAGACCAGCATCCAGGTAATTAAGCTGCAGGGGAGTGAAGCGGTGACTTGAGGAGGAAACTGGAGACACAAGGAGACTGAGGTAAGTACAGAGCATGAACATGTAAACAAGAAGCAATGAGGCCTGGTTACCACCATGCGGCAGCTGACAAACTGGAATAGATGACTGCACTGATCGTAAATACAGCCTTGCTGAACATTGTGAGTGGATGACAGGTGAGGAACCAGGGTTTTGTCAAGAAGGTGGACGGAGCTAAACACAGGAAGGCAGTGGAAAAACACCAGATGCTCACTTGGATCCTGGTAACCTAATTCTTGATTAAATATGCATTTGTAGTGAATACTGCTGTGCTGTTTCTAAAACAAATGGTTCTGCTTCATTTTTCTGCATTTTTCTGTCACTGTCCGCATATCTATCAAACCCTCCTGCTGAGTTGTACATAACTCTAAAAAGCCAGAACTCCCATGGCTCCCTTTCTCCTAAGCTGATGTCCATGACTACAGCTGGTTGGCATACTGAAAGAGCAAGAGGCTTTAAAAGTGAGTGGTAGACTGATGGAGAGACACAAAAAGGAAACAAATCCTTGCCTAGGGTATAGGGTTGAATGTTTCCATGTCTAAAATTAACTTCAATCTTCAGTATGCACCATGATAGGGAACGCATTATTAATCAGGTTGACATACACAGATGCGGCCTGTGTCTGTGCCTCAGTCTGTTGTGCCAAGACATTGCATCAGAGTCCCAGTAAGCCTTTGTTTATTGTTAATCCAACTGCACATAACATGCTATAAATAACATGAAACCATACACACACACACACACACACACTCACACACAGGGGGCGTACACAAACATATGCTCAAACTACACACTATTAACAGTTCCAAAGGGGTTTAGATTTCTCTCTAGCTTTGACCATGGGAGTGGGAAAGAAAAGCAAAGATCCCCCCCCCCCCCCCCCCCCCCCCCCCCAAAAAAAAAAAAAGAAAGAAAGAAATGACAGGTATAATAAGCAGACAGCAGTGTGAGAAATAAACAAGGAACAGACACAGGAAGTGGTATAATGAGAATTAAGGAGGCTCTGCGTGACTACATAGAATGATCAAATTAAGTTTCCACGGAGTTCATTAAAAAAAAAATATATATATATCCATGTCCAGAATGATAATTATCAGGGCTGGATTTCCTTCTGGGTTATGCTTGGCACCATACCTAATTCAGGTTTGTTAACAATTGCAGATATATTTGTTTTCTTTTCTTTTTTTTAAAGCAGTAACATAACAGTCATAAAAGACAATTCCTTAATTTCATTTTTAGTGCATTCAATACATCCAAGAGTTTACATTTACACAAAAATGCATTCCAGGTTTAATTATGCATTAATTTTCTTATTTACAGTTTCTTAGATCCATTTTCTGCATGCATTACTGTATTAACCTTGAGAAAGAGAGTGTTTCAGAGCAACCTTACATTATAAACCGATGTTTCTTTAGTTTTGTATATTTGTCAGTTACATTTTATTTGGGTTTCTTTTCTAGCTATTTATTTGTGTTTTGCTATTTATTCTAAATGCTGCTAGCAGGGAGTTGCTTCTAATTTTGTTGAACATCTGAAGTTTAATGACAATACAAAGATTCTGATTGTGATATAAATAAAGGGATGTGTCATTATGAAAAGAAACAGCCCATATATATATATATATATATACATATATTTATATATATATGTGTATGTGTGTGTGTGTGTGTGTAAATACATTGTTGTAAATCATTAATAAATAAAAAATAACAATGCTACAGCAAGAGTGCATTTTATACATTAATATCACACCAGCACTCACAAATTGTTACAATCATAATACTGCAAATCAAACTTTCCTTTTCCTCTTCAAGAAAATGTATTGTAAAGATAATAAAACTGAAGACTTTATTCACGAAATTTTGCTCTTCACTCAGTCTTTATTATCATTCATAATATGGATGGCAATGTTTTTGTCTTTTACTATTATTAATTGTATTCAGGGAAAGGTAATACTGTGTTGTATTATATAAAATACAAGTAGTACAAGCAGCAGTAGTAGTGGGTGGTGCACTGGGCCGGCCCAGGGATCACTGGACAGAGGTTGTCCATGTTTTCATCCTATCAGTACCGTGCCCTCCTCACTCACTCCAGACAGACACAAACTGCTAGCTGACAAGGTAAGACATCACTAAAGCTTTTATAAACTGGAACTGGCGGATTTAATTCTTGCAGTCATTTATAATAATCTCTGCATGAGCGCTTGTGTCCCCATTGCGCGCATCGAACCAGCCTTGCGCGATTTTCACTCTAACCTCGATTAGTCTGTGCCTTTTCAAAGTAAGGCGGCTTCACACGTGATCTGCGTGCGTGCAGTTACTTGCACTTTTTATACTCGCCAACAGCTTCAGTATTTGTGAATATCCGAGGATTAAAGATGCTTTTAAAGTGACACTCTGATAGCGGGAATGATCCCCTCTCTCGCTCTCCCTCTCTTTCGCTCTCTCTTTCACACACGTGCGCGCGCGCGCGCGCACACGCACACACACACACACACACATGCACACGCACATACACACCCACGGTCTCTGCGCAATATATCCACACACATCGACCCACCCTAAACTTTCTATGACCTGAAGACAAGCTATTTTAGTTAACAAAGGCATGCTTCAATAGTATCTGGAATGCTGGTGTGTTTATCTGCATGTGTTTTTTTGGGGGTTTTTTTTTAGTGTCTACAAAGTCTTACTTATACTACAATGCTTATTGCACTTAAAAAGTTAAAGTTAGGGCCATATTGTAGTGTAATATGCCTTTATTTTTCTATCCTCAGGATTTTCCATGGCTGCAAACTCTCAGTGTGTACTTCTTGTTATATTGCTTAATTTTCTGACATTATCACTTGGCACTCAAGATGACCTTATGATCAGTACAAGCGATGGGAAAATTCAAGGGAAATTGCTTTCTGTGCTGGGTTCGGATGTTAGAGCCTTTCTTGGAATTCCCTATGGAAAACCACCTGTTGGGAAATTAAGATTCAGAGCGCCAGAGCCAGTAGAGAAATGGGATGGTGTGAAGGATGCTACCAACTTTCCAAATTCCTGCTACCAGATGCCTGATACAGCCTTTCCTGGTAGGACTCACATTAACACAACTGGGCACAATGCATGCACAGACTGTGTAATGGATAGTGCATATCTGTACACTTACATACATATAGCCACTACATAATATGAAATATTCAAAGGACTAAACAAAATCCAAACATAGTATTAAATAAATATTTTCAACATATTTCACATTGCTGTTATTTATATGTTATGTACACATGTTTTATCTAAACAATAACCAGAGAGTTACATTACTATAAATAAATTAATAATATTATTTTATAATTTATTTAAAAATAAAACCTGCAAAAATATTTATCATACCTGATAGCACTAATTCATCACTTGTTTGACTGATAAGTAATCTTCATTTTTTTTCTTTTTAGAGAGAGAGAGAGTTAGGATTGCAATCCACTTTAGACTGTTTTTTAAAAAACATTTTATGTTACCTAAACGCTAGCTTATAAAGGGTAGCATTTTGCTCTCGGACAGTTTTGTCATGCAGAGGTTTTTTTGCACTGTATTCATTTCAGAGTAATGCTTTAGTGGGGAGTGGCAGTTAGGAAACATGATCTCATTCGTAGTGTATGCATTCCCTTTCCCAACTAAACACTTTTTTTAATTGCAAAAGTAAATCTTGGACATGACCCATAAATGTTAAGCAATTTTTTTTTGTATTATTATTTTCTAGACTGATAAAGAATGTATCTCTTACACATTACACTTTCATATATTCCTTAACACGAATACACGAGTCAAAGTTTTCAAATGCCTTTCCCCTCACTCAAAAGAATTACTGCGGTTGGGCTGGCTGTATTTATAGATGAAGCCACCTGTCGGAGATTGTTGAACTACTGCAACGGATACCAGACATATATCAATGTAATAAGCACACTCACTTAATTTAGATATGACATCAGAGATAGAAATGAACCTAACTCACTGTTATCAGGTTGTTGTCAGTGATTCTCATTCTAGGTAAAAACAACCATACAACTGTACACAGTACATTAATGGTAAATTCAAGTTAATTTTTCTTCAAGCTAATAAAATGAAATGGACCGATGAATAAATTAATTTGAACTTGTAGATTGCAGTAATGTTGTCCCAATCAGGCTCTTCAAAATTATATAATTATACTACTGCTGTTATCTAACAAAATTCTTTCCAGGGTTCAAAGGTGTAGAAATGTGGAACCCAAACACTCCTCTGAGTGAGGACTGTCTGTACCTCAATGTCTGGTCGCCACGTTTCAACAAAACGCAGCCTGCACCACTTGCCCCTGTCTTTGTCTGGATTCATGGTGGTGGGTTCATCTCAGGAACATCGTCATTGGACATTTACGACGGCCGTTTCCTGAGTAAATCTGAAAGTGTTGTTGTGGTATCAATGAATTACAGGTAAGAGGTAATAAATACTAATAGTAATTAAATATAGTTATTATATGTAACTAGAAACTCTACACATTTATACAAGAAAATAAAATTGAGTATGACAAATCTGGGTGATATTCTTTTTAGAATAATAAGAGTAAGCAATATTGTGATTTAGCTTCAGTCATACATTGTCAGTATGCCTTATTGTTGTGGTCATCAATAACAGATTGGGAGCGTTTGGTTTCCTGTCTCTTCCCGACAACACAAATATCCAGGGTAATGCAGGCCTTTTGGACCAACGCCTGGCTCTTAAATGGGTTGCAAATAATATTGCAGCTTTTGGTGGTGATCCTTCTAAGGTAAATGCCTTAATTCTAGAAAGGTTTTTCACATGTTGAAACAATTTTAATTTGGCATTGTTTCCAGGTTACTCTGTTCGGAGAAAGTGCTGGGTCTGCATCTGTTGGCTTCCAGCTGCTCTCGCCGGGCAGCCAGGATCTTTTTCAAAGGGCTGTGATGCAGAGTGGCTCCCCCAATGCATACTGGGGCACAATTAGTCAGACTGAGGCCTGGGACAGGTAGTGTACATTTTTTTATCATCTTTGTCTTGAGCCAACTTGGTTGACTTAACCCTTGTATCTAGACTGACAAAATGACAAGTGTATTAAAAAGTCTGAAGATTTCCAGAGACTGAAACCTGATGACTTTGCCTTTAGCTCCAACAATAGGTCGACATTCTCATTCATCCTCTGTCCATATAGGTACCGTTAGGATTTTATCAATACCAATATTGAAACTGATATTACTTACAAATATTAATACATCCTGATAGTCTGATATTATTTCTGATACTACCCTCCAGACTTTAGTGTAAAAAGAATACACAGCAGTGGCTATAGTTAATTCTGAAGTGTTGGCTAGCACACAAATGGTGTTTTTCATTGCAGTCTTATACTAACCAGGTATCGAGGTGTTTAGTTTTGTGCTTCAGGTCAATGGCTGTGGTGATCCCACACAGTTAAAAATATCCTACTAGAGTGAGGGCTTGGCTGTTGTCCCAGGCTGCAGCTAAGTTTACAAGGATCTGCCAAATTTGAAGATACTTACACACAGTAGTCTTTCTGTATACTGACACGTTTAATTTTAACAATTCTTAGCAATCAGATTAACAGACTAACAAGAACACTGTGGCTTTGCAATAGATAAAAACATATATTATTTTTTGTCAAAAAAGGCTTTGATCACAGTAAAAAATAAATAATAATGTGTGTGTGTGTGTGTGTGTGTGTGTGTGTGTGTGTGTGTGTGTGTGTGTGTGTGTGTGTGTGTGTGTGTGTGTGTGTGTGGATATATATTTTCATTCAGTTATATATATTTATCTACTACAAAAAAACATGATTTTTGACTTCAATATTCAGTTCCAAAATCTACATTTGTCTTTCATACTATCTGTGAGATCATATTGTGTGACAATGTGACAATAAAAGTGATTTGATTTGATTTGATTTGATTTGCATTGAATAAAAGTTTGGTTCTATGAGTTCTTCCTTATTTTATTCTTTTTCAATATTTAGGTCTCTTATGCTGGCAAAACTTGTGGATTGTCCCTCATCTCCTGCAGCTCGTCTAGAAGCTTGTCTGCAGCAGGCTGATCCTCAAAAAGTCTCAACCAAGCAATTTGAGGTTCTCACTCAATCGTCACTATTAAGTCTTCCCTTTATGCCTCATGTTGATGGGAACTTCTTACCAGATGCAGTTGATGTGAGTACCCATATTTGGCATTTGGTTGACTTTCTTTAAGAAATATTTTTTTCGCTACATCATGCATCTCCAATAAGTGCTGTTCATACTTGGGTTTAAGGCAGTGTTTCCCAACCACTGTGCCGCGGCACATGGGTGTGCTGTGAAAAATGATCAGGTGTGCCGTGGATGATTAACTGGTTCCACCTGAGTAACGGGCAGAACAATTACATTCTCTTCAAATAGAGGGCAATACAACTATCTGCTCTAATTAAATTGGTTGCCAACTGACAGTAAAATAGTAGAAGACGAAGAATAAATGACATAATAATCATGCTGTGAGTGAGACAACGCAGCACATAATAGCAATAGATAAATATTTGAAAAGAAAAAGTAGTCAATCTGACCTGGATCCTGGAAAAAATTCCTACCCAGATGAGCAAATTTTCCTATATTTGGTGCGCGGGAAAAATATCAATGTGCTTTCTGTGAGATTTTTGTTTGGTGGTGTGCCGTGTGATTTTTATAATGTGAAATATGTGGCGTGGCTCCAAAATGTTGGGAAACACTGGTTTAAGGAAAAAGTTGCATGCAACCAGTCCACATGTTGTCAAAAGAAAAAAAATAAACGTTTATACAATCAAAGGGAAGTATACCCTCTTTAATTCTAAGGTTATACATGAAAAAAAAATCACAATTATCTGGTTTTTACCAGATTAAATAAAATACAACCTTAGATGAACTACAGTACATGGCATCTTGCACCGAGTGATTTTTTAGTTATTAAAAACAAAGTTAAAGAAGCAGTGTGTGGAAAAAAAATATTTAAAAAAAAAGTATACACTGTGACTCAGTAGCTTGTAGAACCATTTTCCACTTGATGTAACTGCTTTATGTACGACTTCATGACTCTTCATCACTTTTGGCCCACTCTTCTTTACAATGTTGCTTCAGTTCATTGAGGTTAATGGACATTTGCTTATGCACAAGTCTCTTGACATCCCACCACAAACACTTGGTCTGGATTTTTTTTTTTCATTCTGATGTAGATTTGCTGGTGTGCCTAGGTTAATTGTCCTGTTGCATGACCCAGTTTTGCCTAAGGTTAAGCTGTTAGGGAGACTGCTTCACATTTGAGCCTACTATCACAATCCCATCTCCACATTGGTCCTGTCTATCTAAAGGACATTGTTCCAGAAGTTTTGTGACTTCTTCAGTTGCAATTTTGCAACCTAAGCCATGCTGTCATGTTCAGTTTTGAGAGATAATTTCAGTTGTACTATCATGAATTTTAGTATTTAATATACTAGCAGAGGACTGTTGTAGCTATCTGGCTTTTTATAATTTCTCTGATCATTATGTGGTCTAATGTTGGATCACTTAAGAATCATGGACATCACATTGTTTGGAAATGGCCTTCCCAGACTGATGGGCAGAAACAGCTGATTCCTTGTAATCATGGCTAATATGTTTTCTGTCAACACATACTTGAATGTGAGGCCGGTTGGATGTGCTGCCATATTCTCTGAAACGCCTGTGGAGACGGCTTATGGTTGAGAAATGAACGTTCAATGCACGGGCGACAGATCTGGTTGACATTCTTGCTGTCAGCATGCCAATTGCACGCTCCCTCATTGCTTGTGGCATCTGTGGCATTTTGCTGTGAGACAAAACTGCACATTCCAGGGTGGCCTTTTGTTGTGGGCAGTCTGAGGTACACCTGTGCACTACTCATGATGTCACATCAGCATCCTGATGTGGCACACCTGTGAGGTGGGATGGATTATCTCAATATAGCAGATGTGCCCACTACCACACATTTGGACTGATTTGTGACCACTGTTTGGGAGGGATGGTTATATTGTGTATCTGGAATGAATTTTAGGTCTCTACGTCCATCCCATGGGGAATGGGAGCAGTAACAAAGGTGTTGCGTTTATATTTTTGTTGAGTGTATATATATCGTAGTGGTTAGACTACACGCCTTTGGAACAGAGGATCGCAAGTTCGATTCCTGCCTGGGGCGTCTGTATCCAGTAAGGGTGCTAAGGCTAGACCCCCTATGCTAAGCAAGCCTACCGCAGACATGAGCGAGACAGATAAATATGAAGGCATGCCGGCTCGGACGTCGCCCGGATCAACAAGGTCCGCGTCAGGTGTTGAGGAACCAGGGCACCCTGACGACAAGTGGGCTACTGGAACAAGAAGGCATCAGTGGGCAAGAGACGAAAACAGGGCATTGTTGGAATGCTACTACGCAAGTAACCCCGGCGGAAGGGGCTACATGAATAGGATGCGGGACCTATGGATTCTTCGATATCCAACATCCACAATGACGGCGAAACAACTAGTAGCTCAGTGTTCCAACATTCGAAAGAAGGGACTGCTCTCACAGCTAGAGATTGACGAGGTACAACACAAATGCTATGGCAAGGAGGAGTCAGGACGCCAGGTCAGGGGGGAGATATCATCACCCCCACCCGAGATTGGGTACATAGCCCCAAGTCCGATAGGAGAAGGATCGTTGAGTGCGAGAGGAACTGACCTGAAAAATAGGATCATGGCCAAGCTTGAAACCTGTATCCCCGTAGTCGGTTACCAAGATTACGTGAAGTACCCTCAGAAGGTCTGCTAGATGATGTTAATGCAGCACTATGGACGATACCTACAACCACGATTACCGACACTAACAAGCTGATCTACAATACGGCAGCGGTGATCAGTGAGATGCTTGGCTACAAGTTGAACAGCCACAAGGGGCAGTACCCTCCATGGAGAAGGAGGCTAGAGGGCAACATCAAAGTAGCACGGAGGGAGGTTAGCCAACTAACGGAGTTGCAGAAAGGTGCGACAAAGAAGGTGCATAAGAAATACAGCAAGCTGTCCATACCTGAGGCCTTGGAAACTGCCAAGCAAAGACTCATAGCCTTGGCCAGCCGCTTGAGGAGGTACACCAGAGAGATAGAAGGCAGGAGAATAAACCAGCTGTTCTCCACAGAACCAGCAAAGGTGTACTCTCAGTGGCAAGGGAACAATAAGAGAACAGCACCACCAAGGCTGGAGATGGAGCAATACTGGAAGAGCATATGGGAGAAGGACGCAACCCATAATGGCAATGCTCAGTGGCTAGTGGATCTGAGGGCAGACCACAGCGACCTCCCTGAACAGGGTCCAGTAACCATCACAGTGGCAGATATCCAAGAAAGGGTCTCCAGTATGAAGAGTTGGACAGCACCAGGGCCCGACATGGTTCACACCTACTGGCTAAAGAAGCTGACTGCACTCCACGAGCGTCTGGCAGCACAAATGAACCAGCTGCTAGTTAACGAGAGACACCCGGAATGGCTAACCGAAGGTCGGACGGTCCTGATCCCCAAGGACCCCAAGAAGGGACTGGTCCCCTCCAACTACCGACCAATAACCTGCCTCAGTACTACATGGAAGCTCCTGTCAGGCATCATATCGGCTAAGATGAACAGGCACATGGGTCAATACATGAGCGGGACACAGAAAGGGATTGGCAAGAATACCAGAGGCGCAAAACACCAGCTACTGGTAGACAGAACAGTCAGCCGAGACTGCAAGACCAGACTGACCAACCTGTGCACTGCCTGGATTGATTACAAGAAGGCCTATGACTCAATGCCCCACAGCTGGATACTGGAATGCTTAGAATTGTACAAGATCAATGGGACCCTAAGAGCCTTCATCAGGAACTCAATGGGGATGTGGCGTACAACACTAGAGGCCAACTCCAAGCCCATAGCACAAGTCACCATCAAGTGCGGGATCCACCAAGGAGATGCTCTGTCCCCACTGCTGTTCTGCATAGGCCTGAACCCCCTCAGTGAGATCATTAACAAGACTGGCTACGGATACCGACTACGGAACGAAGCAGTTGTCAGCCACCTCCTGTACATGGATGACATCAAGCTGTATGCCAAGAGTGAACAAGACATCGATACACTGATCCACACTACCAGGCTATACAGCAATGACATTGGAATGTCATTCGGACTGGAGAAGTGTAGTCGGATGGTAACAAGAGAGGGAAGGTAGTAAGAACTGAGGGGATTGAACTACCAGAAGGCAAAATTGCAGACATAGAGGACAGTTACAAGTACCTGGGGATCCTGCAGGCGAATGGGAACCATGAAGAGGCCGCTAGAAAAGCTGCAACCACCAAGTACCTGCAGAGGGTCAGGCAAGTCCTGAGGAGTCAGCTGAATGGTAAGAACAAGATCCGGGCCATCAACACGTACGCCCTGCCCGTGATCAGGTACCCTGCTGGGATAATAGGCTGGCCAAAGGAGGAGATAGAAGCCACTGACATAAAGACAAGAAAGCTCCTTACCATGCATGGAGGGTTTCACCCCAAGTCCAGCACCCTGAGGCTGTACGCTAAGCGGAAGGAAGGGGGCCGGGGACTGGTGAGTGTCAGCACCACAGTCCAGGATGAGACAACGAACATCCAAGAATACATTGGGAAGATGGCCCCAACTGACCGAGTGCTCAGTGAATACCTCAGGCAGCAGAAACCCAAGAAAGAGGAGGGAGACGAGGAACCATCATGGAAGGACAGGCCCCTGCACAGTATGTACCACCGGCAGATAGAGGAGGTGGCTGATATCCAGAAATCCTACCAGTGGCTGGACAAAGCTGGACTGAAAGACAGCACAGAGGCACTAATCATGGCAGCACAAGAACAAGCTCTGAGCACAAGATCCATAGAGGCTGGGGTCTATCACACCAGGCAAGACCCCAGGTGCAGGCTGTGTAAAGATGCCCCAGAGACAATCCAGCACATAACAGCAGGGTGCAAGATGCTAGCAGGCAAGGCATACATGGAACGCCATAACCAAGTGGCTGGCATAGTGTACAGGAACATCTGTGCCGAGTATAATCTGGAAGTCCCGAGGTCAAAATGGGAGATACCCCCAAGGGTGGTGGAGAATGACCGAGCTAAGATCCTGTGGGACTTCCAGATACAGACGGACAAAATGGTGGTGGCTAACCAACCGGACATAGTGGTGGTAGACAAACAGAAGAAGACGGCCGTAGTGATCGATGTAGCGGTTCCGAATGACAGCAATATCAGGAAGAAGGAACACGAGAAGCTGGAGAAATACCAAGGACTCAGAGAAGAGCTCGAGAGGATGTGGAGGGTGAAGGTAACGGTGGTCCCCGTGGTAATCGGAGCACTAGGTGCGGTGACTCCCAAGCTAGGCGAGTGGCTCCAGCAGATCCCGGGAATAACATCGGAGATCTCTGTCCAGAAGAGCGCAGTCCTGGGAACAGCTAAGATACTGCGCAGGACCCTCAAGCTCCCAGGCCCTCTGGTAGAGGACCCGAGCTTGAAGGATAAACCGCCCGCAGGGGCGTGCTGGGTGTTTATATATATATATATATATGTGTGTATTTATGTATGTATGTATGTATGTATGTATATATATATATGTGTGTATTTCCGTGTTTGTGTACAGGGAGTGCAGAATTATTAGGCAAATGAGAATTTTGTCCACATCATCCTCTTCATGCATGTTGTCTTACTCCAAGCTGTATAGGCTCGAAAGCCAACTACCAATTAAGCATATTAGGTGATGTGCATCTCTGTAATGAGAAGGGGTGTGGTCTAATGACATCAACACCCTATATCAGGTGTGCATAATTATTAGGCAACGTCCTTTCCTTTGGCAAAATGGGTCAAAAGAAGGACTTGACAGGCTCAGAAAAGTCAAAAATAGCGAGATATCTTGCAGAGGGATGCAGCAGTCTCAAAATTGCAAAGCTTCTGAAGCGTGATCATCGAACAATCAAGCGTTTCATTCAAAATATGGTAAATGGTAAATGGCCTGTATTTATATAGCGCTTTAGTCCCTAAGGACCCCAAAGCGCAAAATAGTCAACAGGGTCGCAAGAACCGTGTGGAAAAACCAAGGCGCAAAATAACTGCCCATGAACTGAGAAAAGTCAAGCGTGCAGCTGCCAAGATGCCACTTGCCACCAGTTTGGCCATATTTCAGAGCTGCAATATCACTGGAGTGCCCACAAGCACAAGGTGTGCAATACTCAGAGACATGGCCAAGGTAAGAAAGGCTGAAAGACGACCACCACTGAACAAGACACACAAGCTGAAACGTCAAGACTGGGCCAAGAAATATCTCAAGACTGGTTTTTCTAAGGTTTTATGGACTGATGAAATGAGAGTGAGTCTTGATGGGCCAGATGGATGGGCCCGTGGCTGGATTGGTAAAGGGCAGAGAGCTCCAGTCCGACTCAGACGCCAGCAAGGTGGAGGTGGAGTACTGGTTTGGGCTGGTATCATCAAAGATGAGCTTGTGGGGCCTTTTCGGGTTGAGGATGGAGTCAAGATCAACTCCCAGCCCTACTGCCAGTTTCTGGAAGACACCTTCTTCAAGCAGTGGTACAGGAAGAAGTCTGCATCCTTCAAGAAAAACATGATTTTCATGCAGGACAATGCTCCATCACACGCGTCCAAGTACTCCACAGCGTGGCTGGCAAGAAAGGGTATAAAAGAAGAAAAACTAATGACATGGCCACCTTGTTCACCTGATCTGAACCCCATTGAGAACCTGTGGTCCATCATCAAATGTGAGATTTACAAGGAGGGAAAACAGTACACCTCTCTGAACAGTGTCTGGGAGGCTGTGGTTGCTGCTGCACGCAATGTTGATGGTGAACAGATCAAAACACTGACAGAATCCATGGATGGCAGGCTTTTGAGTGTCCTTGCAAAGAAAGGTGGCTATATTGGTCGCTGATTTGTTTTTGTTTTGTTTTTGAATGTCAGAAATGTATATTTGTGAATGTGGAGATGTTATATTGGTTTCACTGATAAAAATAAATAATTGAAATGGGTATATATTTGTTTTTTGTTAAGTTGCCTAATAATTATGCACAGTAATAGTCACCTGCACACACAGATATCCCCTTAAAATAGCTAAAACTAAAAACTACTTCCAAAAACATTCAGCTTTGATATTAATGAGTTTTTTGGGTTCATTGAGAACATGGTTGTTGTTCAATAATAAAATGATTCCTCAAAAATACAACTTGCCTAATAATTCTGCACTCCCTGTGTAAATGTATAAACAAATTAACTTCACAAAAACAACTAAACAACTTTCTCTCTTCCTTCTGCAGGTACTTCTAAGTTCTGGTAACTTTGCAAAGAAAGATGTGATGTTTGGTTTAAATAAGGATGAAGGGACATATTTTGCTGTTTATGCAGTCCCTGGATTTAATAACACCGGTCAGAGTCTCATCACTAGAAAGGAATTCTTGGCAGGAGTGACGCTTGCAATGGATACTGCGAGTGATGTCATGAGAGATGCAGCCATTTTCCATTACACGGATTGGACAGATGTGGACAACAGGGTGAAAAACCGTGACTCTGTATGTAGTCTTGTTGGAGATCAAATGTTCATGTGTCCAGTGCTCGACTTTGCTCACAGGTAATGAGTAATTCTTATTGATCATATTTTTTAGTCACAGTTAATAAACACAAAACACGTCAGAACAAAGCCACGCCCACATGGTTCTAAGAAAAGGCATTGTATGTATATGTGTGAACTTCTGTATCTAAGTAAGAATGTGTGTGTGTGTGTGTGTGTGTGTGTGTGTGTGTGTGTGTGTGTGTGTCAGACCTCCAATTCAATTCAATTTCAATTCAATTTCTCTATTGTCCTGCTGACCAAAGGGTCGTAAACACAGGAAGCTTACATCAAAAGAAGCAGATCTTCCAGATAGGATGTATCTGCAATAAAACATTACAGCCCCCCCCATCCAGAACCTCGAGAATCTGGCTGTATCCATGCTGCCCTCCTGCTGCTGTTGATCTCTTTGATTGAGGCCAGTGATCAGCTGCATCCCTCTCTACAATTGTTTGAAATTATTCAACTGGAGTTTGGTTTCCAGCTTCTCTCTGTAGGTATCTTTACACTTTCTCAGCCCTGCCTTTAGGTCATGGTGTAGGTTTCTCAACTTGTCCTTGTTCCCAGGCCTGAAGATCCTCTACTTTTCATTCAGCATGTCCCAGTATGCAGTCTCACTGGCTCCCTGACTCCAGAATTCTTCTCACAGGCTTGGTGGCAACAGGAAGTCTTAGAACTGCAAGAACATACTGAGATGTTAACAGGACCTGGTTTTGGTCTGATCTACATAGTTGGCAAGGGCAGTGGCTTTGTATACATCCTGCATGTTTGCGTGCAGAAGATCCAAAGTTTTATTTTTTCATGTTTTGACCAGATACTGCTTTAAAGTTGGCATAGTGGAGGCTAGATATGGTTGAAACCGCCAGTGATGGTGATGAAAGGCTCTGGGGGTTTATGCTTTAGGTCAGTGAAAGTCCCGTGTGTGATGTCACATGCTGCTGACCCATTAGCTGCTACATAAACACGTATTAATATAGCGGAGAATTCTCATCGTAGATAACATGTCCTGGATTGCATCACCATTTATTAACAAACACTGCAATCTCTCCATCTTTTCTTCTTATTGCTCAGCTTGGCGTCTTTGTCAGCCAAACTATGAAAAAGTCTGATACTGTGGTGGTGTGGTCCAGGTACCTTTGTAAAGCATAATACACTGCGCTCCCGATACTGCCGATTACTCTGATGCTTTACCAGTTATCCACTTTTAAGAGACCTCACATTCCCCATGACGACCGGTGGAAAGGAGGGTTTATGTTTCCTTCTCCTTGATTATATTCTTACTCTGGCCTGGCACTGATTACGTCACCTTTTGAGTTCCTGCAGGATGACCGGTCTGGCTACAGGCAGCAGTGTTGTGTTTTTGAAAGTGCCAGATCCTGAGTGTGAGAGTGCCAGGTCCTGAGTGTATAGAAACACAGAGCCATTCCACTCAGTCTTACCCCTCATCATGACAAATATAAAAAAGACAGTGAGGACCATAAAATTACAAAAAAGACGACTAAGGTCTATAGTTTGTAAAAACTGAAATCTAAAAAAAAAAGACAAAAAGGACACTATGAATAAAACCGCAAAACACACTTAACTACGGAAGCTGCTGCAACAAACCACAATTCTCACAACATCTAGAGACTAAGAACAAGAACAAGACTCAACTCTTATGTTCTTGCGATTATTGCAAACAAATCCTGACAAAACACTGACGAATAGAGCTGGTTTAAAGAAATGCCACCTTACTAATAGTTTAAAGACCCCCGGAGAGCAGTCATTTTGGTTTTCTACCTTAGACCCCCGCGGAGTCATCATTTTGCGTTTCTACCTTTAAAAGCCGGAGAGCAGTCCGTCAAATGCTGGAGTCATTCATATGTATATTAGGTCGTTACCTAGGAATTCTGGAGGGAGGGGAGTGGGGGTGAGTGATTGAGGGGGTGGGGGAGTGGAGTGTTTCAGTTTGCCATCTTAGGGAGAAATCAACACATGTCCTTTGTATGTCCTTTGTTGCTGACATTTATTGATGAAAACAGTACAAAAAACCAACCATTTGTACACATATTTACAAATAATGATAAAAAGTGAGTGAGTACATTTCAACATTTTCAGCAATCACTCACAATCCTGGCACTGCCACGGTATCTGTCGTCTGCATTTACCACATGTGTACCTGTAGCAGTGAACACATCGCACAGTGGCCTGATTTTTTTTGCATCTGTGTTTGACCTGACACGTGGCTCTTTTTCCAGGGCTCGGTGTGGAGGGTTGTGTCCGAAGCAACTGATCTTTTCTTGCCTTCTTCGCAGCTACATGAGAGCGAGCCAACTCCCTTGCAAGCTCCACCAGGAAGTCCACCCGTCTTTCCTTCGTCCCGGTGCATGCTTGATACAGCACATGTGCATTCAGTGCTGCCATGTCAATCATGTTATAAAACACGGCGACTGGCCAGCGCCATGTTCCTTTGCGGACAGTGTACTCCCGAACCATCTGGTCCATCACATCCACGCCACACTTTGTTTTGTTGTAAAGGGTGACAGTGTTTGGCTTCCTTTTGGTAGTGTTATCAGTCTGAACCACGCTGTGCATGCTGCTAAGAATATAGACTGTCTTCTTCCGTTTGGCCGCATACGCCGTCAGCATGGCAGCAGAGGTTGAAAACACCTAAGAAATAAGATAAATTGTTATTTCCATAGCCCTTTTACACACAATGAAACACATAAACATAGAACCACAAAAGACCTGCAACATACCTGAGTGGTGAATTCATTGCGATCTGTCTGTCTAGTGGATTGAGGAATTTCCCTGCGAATCTTGTTGACTGTGCCGAGGATGGTGGTTTTCCGTCCAAGAAGTTTTTGCGCAAGTGAAAGCGATGTGAAGAAATTGTCCGTGGTAACATTTCTGCCCTTGTCTAGGAATGGTTCCATCAGCCTCATTACTACATTTTCAGAAAGTCTCTCCCCAGTGGGACGATTGGGGTCCTTGCCAAGATATGGGAAGACATTGCAAATGTACTTGGATTTTAGGTCGCAGGCCACCCAAAACTTGATCCCAAACTTGTCCGGTTTACTTGCAATATACTGCAGGAAACAGCACCGAGTCTTTGATGGGAAAAGCTGTTCATCAACGGTGATATGTAGACCAGGGTTGTAGCACGTGATGCAGTTGGTGACAAATGATCCCCACACACTGGAAATTGCAGCGAACTTATCAGTCTTTGCTCGATCACTGCGGGTGGACTTGTCATCAAAGCGTAGGTGTTGCATGATGTCTTGGAAGCGGTTTCGTGCCATAGTTCCAATTATCTGTGGGTTTCCCAGGTTTGCTGACCAGCAGTCATTTACCGATGGAACCCTGTAAACCCCCCGCAAGATGACAATTGCAATAAATGCCATTAGTTCAGGGAGGTCCATGAACCAATGAACATGCTCCGTTTGCTGTGCATGTTGAATAGTCCATTCTTGAATGCTATGAAGCATGTCAAGAGTGATGAAACACAGGAAGCTCTGAAGGCGACTCGAGATACTTCTCCTGGCCTTAGCCGTTGGCTCTCCATCTGCAGTGTACGGTTCTATTGGGGTGAAAGGGAGACGGGTCCCCACATGTTCTTCACGCCACACTGTGCCATCTTTCGCTGTCTCAGTCCCCAAACAAGCTCTCTTTTTCGGTGGAGAAGCAGTCTCCTCATCTGCAGTGTGAACAAATTCTAATTGTGAGCAATGGGAAGGTCAAACAAACTTACTAACTACATCCACTTACTTGTTTGAAATGAAAAAGGAAATAACATGAAATGAAACTAACCGGAAGACTGATCAGACAGCTCTGAGTCCGAATCCGGCTGAACTTCTAGGTCTTCTCCATCCGAGTCACAAGGGTCGACTTCCGTCAGGATCATTTCCAACACCTGCTGAGTAGTGAGTCTTCTCTGCATTTTCTTTCCTTGGAGAGGAGGTCCGTACACCACAGAATTCTTCAGGGCACTAAGCGGGGTACTGTGACGGGGCACACCCAGTGCTCTATGATTGGTGCACAATCATCTCTATGATTGTGCACCAATCAGAGCACTGGGTGTTTTTTGTACTGGGTATATATATGACACAATCTCACTGCACTTAGCCTAACCCTTCATTGCCCTGAAGAATTCTGTAGATGGAGAGCCAACGGCTAAGGCCAGGAGAAGTATCTCGAGTCGCCTTCAGAGCTTCCTGTGTTTCATCACTCTTGACATGCTTCATAGCATTCAAGAATGGACTATTCAACATGCACAGCAAACGGAGCATGTTCATTGGTTCATGGACCTCCCTGAACTAATGGCATTTATTGGAATTGTCATCTTGCGGGGGGTTTACAGGGTTCCATCGGTAAATGACTGCTGGTCAGAAAACCTGGGAAACCCACAGATAATTGGAACTATGGCACGAAACCGCTTCCAAGACATCATGCAACACCTACGCTTTGATGACAAGTCCACCCGCAGTGATCGAGCAAAGACTGATAAGTTCGCTGCAATTTCCAGTGTGTGGGGATCATTTGTCACCAACTGCATCACGTGCTACAACCCTGGTCTACATATCACCGTTGATGAACAGCTTTTCCCATCAAAGACTCGGTGCTGTTTCCTGCAGTATATTGCAAGTAAACCGGACAAGTTTGGGATCAAGTTTTGGGTGGCCTGCGACCTAAAATCCAAGTACATTTGCAATGTCTTCCCATATCTTGGCAAGGACCCCAATCGTCCCACTGGGGAGAGACTTTCTGAAAATGTAGTAATGAGGCTGATGGAACCATTCCTAGACAAGGGCAGAAATGTTACCACAGACAATTTCTTCACATCGCTTTCACTTGCGCAAAAACTTCTTGGACGGAAAACCACCATCCTCGGCACAGTCAACAAGATTCGCAGGGAAATTCCTCAATCCACTAGACAGACAGATCGCAATGAATTCACCACTCAGGTATGTTGCAGGTCTTTTGTGGTTCTATGTTTATGTGTTTCATTGTGTGTAAAAGGGCTATGGAAATAACAATTTATCTTATTTCTTAGGTGTTTTCAACCTCTGCTGCCACGCTGACGGCGTATGCGGCCAAACGGAAGAAGACAGTCTATATTCTTAGCAGCATGCACAGCGTGGTTCAGACTGATAACACTACCAAAAGGAAGCCAAACACTGTCAACCTTTACAACAAAACAAAGTGTGGCGTGGATGTGATGGACCAGATGGTTCGGGAGTACACTGTCCGCAAAGGAACACGGCGCTGGCCAGTCGCCGTGTTTTATAACATGATTGACATGGCAGCACTGAATGCACATGTGCTGTATCAAGCATGCACCGGGACGAAGGAAAGACGGGTGGACTTCCTGGTGGAGCTTGCAAGGGAGTTGGCTCGCTCTCATGTAGCTGCGAAGAAGGCAAGAAAAGATCAGTTGCTTCGCACACAACCCTCCACACCGAGCCCTGGAAAAAGGGCCACGTGTCAGGTCAAACACAGATGCAAAAAAAATCAGGCCACTGTGCGATGTGTTCACTGCTACAGGTACACATGTGGTAAATGCAGACGACAGATACCGTGGCAGTGCCAGGATTGTGAGTGATTGCTGAAAATGTTGAAATGTACTCACTCACTTTTTATCATTATTTGTAAATATGTGTACAAATGGTTGGTTTTTTGTACTGTTTTCATCAATAAATGTCAGCAACAAAGGACATACAAAGGACATGTGTTGATTTCTCCCTAAGATGGCAAACTGAAACACTCCACTCCCCCACCCCCTCAATCACTCACCCCCACTCCCCTCCCTCCAGAATTCCTAGGTAACGACCTAATATACATATGAATGACTGGCCAATTTAGCTTCCACTTCCAGCATTTGACTGCTCTCCGGCTTTTAAAGGTAGAACGGTAGAAGCCTGGAAATCCCAGTGTTAAAACTGCAAACCAGTATAAAAATGACAATTACTAACACTAACAATGTTTCTGCATTTTTTGTGTTTTTTCCTCAGTTTGTATGAACCACTTTATTTATTTTTCTGTTATGTTTCATCCATCTTGAGCTAACCTGTTGTAATATAATAATATATCTCTGTTATTTACACTTTGCAGGCTCTCTCAACATGGTGGTAAGCCTTTTGTATATTTATTTGATCACCACTCATCAGTCAATCCCTGGCCAGAGTGGATGGGTGCTATGCATGGGTATGAGATAGAATTTGTATTCGGAATGCCTCTGAATGCATCTCTGGGATACACAAAGGAGGAAGTTAATATGACCAAGAAGTTTATGAAACACTGGGCCAACTTTGCTCGTACAGGGTAAGCATAACCAGATGGTCAGACACTCACTCAACTAGTGTGAAGACCCTGATGATTCTTAGAACTGATTTATTGTCTGTTTCAGAAATCCAGGCCTTGAGGGAGCTAAGTGGCCTGTGTTTACTGTTCAAGAGCAGAAGTATGTCACACTGAATTATAAACATCCAGAAGAAAAGACAATGATGAAAGCCAAAGAATGTCAGCTCTGGAGCAAATTTATCCCAAAAGTCCAAAGCGTGTCAGGTTGGATACACAAACACCTACACACATACATGCATGACACATATATAAAGATCACTCTATATAGTCTAAATGAAAGTATATTTTCTTTAAATTTGGCAGGTTTAAAATGAATCTTAAATATAATCTCAGATGAAGTAAAAAAAAATTACATATTCCACAGTGTCATTATTTACTTTAAAAAAATGAAGCCGTCTCTGAAAAAGTAAGTGCTTCTGTAGGAATAAAGAGGGTGATCTACAGTCAGGTG